TGTTGAACAATGAGAACACATGGACACAGGGAGGGGAGCACTACACACTGGGGTCTGTTTGGGGGAAATGGGGGAGGGACGGGGGGTGGGGAGGTGGGGAGAGACAGCATGAGGAGAAATGCCAGATATAGGTGAAGGGGAGGAAGACAGCAAATCACACTGCCATGTGTGTACCTATGCAACAATCTTGCATGTTCTTCACATGTACCCCAAAACCTAAAATGCAATAAATAAATAAATAAAAATAGAAGCTTCTGCTATTCAGAGTGGGCGCAAGTTCCCAGTGCTCAGGAGTGGAGAAGTTAAGACATGTCCCTCAAGGAGCGGAGAGAACATTCTCAGCAGCGGGTTTGGCAGCCAACTGAGATGGAAGCCATTCAGCAACCCAGCAGGAGCCTTGGGAGGAGGCTGGGCAGGGCAGGGCCAGAGCAGGGAAGGAACCTACAGAAAGCACCGTCTTGGGAATGCTTCCTGGCACGCACAGCCTTACAGTGATGCTCAGTCCCTGAGCCCTCACGTTTTCTCTACATTACCAAGTTTCGGAAACGAGCCCGGATTATGGAATTCCAGGCCTGGATAGATGTTCTCCCAGCTTGTGTTTGTCAGGTGTTTCAAGGCAAGACTCCTAAACCTTCAGGCTCTCAGTATCTTCATCTGTTAAATGAGGGGGATATGGTGATCATTTGGTTTCTTCCCTCATGAGATGCTGCTGATCAGGTGGCACTGCCACTGTCACCCCCCACGGGACACAGCCCACACCCAGCCTGGCCAGGTCTCAGTGCCCTCCCACTGCTGCATGCCTGTGTCCCAGCAGTCTCCGTCGAGCCTCCTCTTCTGGCTCCCTGAGTGCCAACATCCGGCCTTTCTCCCCCAAACAGCCCATACCAGCCTCATTCTTGGCCTTTCCATGTGTCATCACAGGCTTTAAACTGACCCAAATTTGTCAGTTGTGTTAGATGCCTGAGTAGGCTAATTTTTAAATTTCGTCATTTAAAATAGCTGAGCAACTAGTTACTTCCCAGTAAATTGATAGGTTGCTCTCCTGAGTTGGGCAATTGTTTGTTGGCTTTTAGTTTGGAATGTGTGTGTGTGTGTGCGTGTGTGTGTATCTGTGTGTGTTTGGTTGTCATTCAAAATAAATTAAGGGAGAAAATTATAATAAAACCAAGAAGAAAAAAGAACAAGATAGAAACTGAACTCCATGGAGAACACATGTGACAGGCAAAGCTGTGGTCAGTATTTCAATTCTCTGACCATCCTGCTCCCATGTTCCCTATTAATTGGGAAAAATGATTTCCTTCTCTTATGAATAGATAAAACAGTGCCTCACTGACCCGGCAGTCATTCATCCTGAAGACAGATCCAAATCAGGCAGGAAGCCTCCGCACAGGCAGCAGAGGTGGCTTAAGCCTACATGAGAGCGGATTCCCCGTGGGAGGGCACCGCTTCCACCTCCCACACTGTCCCGATCAGCCAGTCGAAGGAACAGTGAGAGGTGACAGCAGATTCAACAATAATAAAATTTGTAATTTTACAAAGTGCTTTCCCTGTTATTGCCACAGTTTGGAGAAACAATATCTAAACAGAATACACACAGGCTACACAGGCTCCCTTGTTATCACCACAGCTTGGAGAAACAATACCTAAACAGACAGTAGACACACAGGCTGCAGGAGATCTGCTCAGTTCACAGTGGTTTGGAACCACAGTTTACTTTAGAGAGACCTCCCCTCGGCCTGGGTAGGTTACCCCTCTCCTGATAGCTGACCATCCTACCTCTCTTCCCTGGGATGAAATTGGCTAGAAAGAGTTGATGTAATATCCTTCCTTAAGCCAATGAGGCCAAAAACTTTAGAATGCTTTGGACAAGCTCCCGTGTCTTGAGCCCCAGCAGAGTGAGCTTCAGGCAACCAGCATGTTGTCTGGTCATTGGGGAGACGCTTTCCACACTGGCTGCATGCAGCAGGCACCCCTTCCTGCCCCAAAACCCCAGGCCCTCTGAGACCCCGCCTTTCCTCAGAAACTTTTCTGAGTACCCCTTGGAATGTGCAGCATTTGGGTAAACTCGGTGCCCTCCCTGGGGCTGAGAAATCTGAGGAATCCTTGCTATAGATGTGCTGTAGTCTTCCAACAGAAGACCCTCGCCAAAGCCCTGCACTTGAAGAGCCACTCCAGGCCTGCTCTGTGGTTCACCTGCCTTAAGAGACTAATATTACTTTAAGAGGAATCGCTCTATAGACACTAGAAATTAAATTATTATTTTTAAAAAGCATCTTTAGAACTAAGAGGTGGTAAGGCATATCCTCTCTCCCCTTTTAGAAGTAAGAGAAGCCCCATAAACAAACTCTGATGACCACAGCAATATGCTTTTTCCTCTTTCCTGGAAAACAAAGAGTGGAGCACATGTCCCCATTCCACTTCGTAATTTGTAATGTAGATTTCTGCCTTCATTCTTTAAGAAATATGTTTGAGTCCTCACTCGGTGTCAGGCACTGAGGCAATGCCCAGGAAATGGTTCATATTGATACTACAGACTGACCTTCAGTCAAACCAGCCCCATAGGCTTTTCCAAACTCTCAAGAACCTTCCAGCTGTCTGCCTGACCTGGGCCTCCACCCCTTCAGTGACTTAATTCTAGGAGGAGGGGATATGAGGGTTGGAAAGGCTGAGAGATCATCAGCTTCAGGACTATCTGTGCCATAAAGAAGGAAACAAGGCCCAGACTGGACAAAGGAAGAGATGATGGTTGCAATGTGCATCAGTGGTAAGAATCCAGCCAGGGAAGGCAGTTCTGCTGAAATGCATTGAACAGGCTGGTTGGGCTCACTTTCTCCATGAACCAGTGAGTTGATGGATCCAGCCTCTGTCCTCAGGGAGAGATGAAGATTCACAAACACCTCATATACAAGGTTGACTGTGGCCAGCGTCATGCAGCAGGGGTGGACCCAAGTTGGAGGCACCACCTTATGTCCCAAGACCTCTCCCATCCTCACATTCATGAAGCTTTTTTTTCTCTAGAAAAGCACTGGGCAGTAGACATATGCGATTCTCTGGCAAGGATGTTCAGCAAATTCCTCAAGAGGGGTTTCCCCAGATTTTGGAGATCCTCTAGAATTTGCCTTTCATGCATGCCCCTGGGGACAGTGCTACATCCTCCCTTAATCTGAAGCAAGCTTCGTGTGGAATAGACAAGTAGCACTTGATCTTTTGGAAGGAAAGTTCTCATACTCACGGTATATTCAGAAGTCCACTGAGCCAGCCAAATGCATCTGCCTTTCTTGCTTTATTTTTTATACTTCCATGGCTTCTTGGAAAAGTAGAGTAAGGCTAATAAAATGAGCTGGCATGAGTGGGCAGGTGATGGAGGCTCTGGGAGCAATGGCCACACCACCTCCCTGGGGGTTCTCTTCACCTCTGGAGGTGGCGGCGAGATATTGTACTGGCCACACCCACTGGGCTGTGGCTTCCCTAATGAAGTCCACTAGACATCTTTTGCAATGACTCTATTTCCCAATTACTCACCTGGTATGGAGGCCAGAATGGTCTACAAATAGATCAGCCTGAAGTCCTAATACTGAATATTCAACCCAAATGTTATCATTGCTGCCCATGGGGACAGGTTGATAACTGGGTTTCTTGGGGTCTTTCCCATTTATCGCTCACCATTTTCTTTTGCTATTTTTCATGTATTCCAAGTTGTCAGCTCTATTACCTTAGCTCACATGGAGTCCTTTGGGGAAAAAGTTTGAGGAGAGATGAATAGACAACTAAATGCATAACTTCCATTAGGAAGAACAGGAACTAAAAATTCACCTCAAAGTTCGTGATCACAGAAATGACAAATTGTTTTCCTATTTCATATTTGCTGTGCTGGAGTGATGAGACCATGGTTGGGTTCTGCTGTCTCTGCCTCCCCTTACTTTTCTATATTTTCCAAACTGTCTTTTAAAAAACAGATATTACTTTAGGATTAACTTTTCAATGGCTTAAAATAAAATAAAATTCTTATCTTGAGTTTTATCACTTGGGGAGAGAAGCGTTGATGACGTCTGAGAACTTCCCAAACTCACTGATCCTGGGATGGAGAGCAATAAGTTCAACATACCTATCTTCAATGCCGCTTTATCTAGTGAGCTCCAGAGAGCAGAAAAATCATTCATATATTTCTTCCCCATTTAGTGGTCTTTCATAGTAGCTCATATCTGACGGAAGCACCTCAGAGGTCTCGGAAGAGCTATGGGTGGTGCTTTTCCTTTCTTTGGGTTGTTGCTTTTAGCAAACACAGGACTCTCATTCTCAGAGCTATTCAGAGCAGGCTACCCAGAGAAACCTTCTTGGAAAGAGGCAACACTAGTTCATTCCCAGGCCTGATTCAGCCACAAGGTCTATGTACTCAGGGCCTAGATGAACAAGGCTTTGGGATGTGGGTTCTAGAACTGCCCAGACCGGAAAGCACCCCTGAAGAAGCCTCTGAGCCACCACCTTCCCTCCCTTCTCTCACCCAGGGAGCAAGGCCTGCCTGCTGGGATGCATGGGTCAGAGACACTGTGTGACTGGCAAGACAAGAGACTTCACGCTGGCCAGCTCTGGTCACCAAAGGAAGGCAGAGGGGACAGAAGGATGGGCTGAGGCTAGGGAGTGCAGGTGTTCCCACTGTGACTATAGAGGCTGTAGCAATGGAAGATCAGAGCCAGTGAGGTGGACACTGACCCAGAATCCAGGTTTGTACCCCTGCTTTGGGAGGGAATACCATGCCCTCTAATTACAGGGTGAGGCCTTTGTGAGTCCAAGAGCCATGCCTCCCTGCCTGCCTGCCCCAGACACACTCTGCTCCAGGGCAAATTCCCACAGAAGGCGTACAGGGAGAGGCCAGGGTGGGGATGCCCACTGAGCGACATGAGTAGTACTGGGGATGCTTGAGTTCAGACAGTGTCAGCGGTCAGTAGGCCACAGGCAGAGGATAGCCACAGGTGGGCTGCAGGCCAGCCAGGCGCTACGCCTTGGTGGGAAGTTGCTGGTCCTGCCTGGGGAAAAGAGCCCCAGGAGGAGGAGGTGAACATCTGTGGAGAGCAGTGAAGGAGACAGGCAGGGAGGGAGCAGCCCCCTCCACACACCCATTAAGGGACCTCAGCCTAGACTTGAGGCAGCCCCTGCCTCCCTCTAGTTAGGATTCAAGGACCATGGATTTGTGCCTGGTATTCACAGGGGCTAGGAGGATGAAGCGGATTGTCCAGTCTGGGGGAATTATTGTTATAAGTTAATTGGCCCGAGGCACTGGCCAGAGGCTGGGGAGTGGCCTGAACATTTTTTACATTATTTCCTTGTGTAGGTGTGAGATGGGAGCTAGGAATTTCCATCCTCACTGTCACTCTTTGGATCTCCCAGATGCCAGACACATGTTAATGACCATGCCACACCCTAACTCCAAGAGCTCTGGTCTGATGGGAACACAGGAGAGCACAGAGACACAAGTCACACTAGGTAAGGGCCAAGGCAGAGGTAACTTTGGGAGATGAGAACATGCAGGAGGCACCTGATCCTACCTGGGGTGCTCTAGACAGCTTCAGAGATGGGGCACTCTTGAGCTGGGTTTTGACAGATGAGTAGGTGTTCTCTAGGAGAAAACTGAGGGCAAGAGAAGCATATCAAGGATTTTGCTTCCTGGAGAAGGTGAGTGAACAATCTAATGCCTCCACAAATTGTAAATGTGACTTTAAAAATACCTATTTTCAGAACATTCCTCTGGGGATTTTGAGTTAGTTGATGCAGGATAAAGCCTGGGTGAGGGTACTTTTAAGAACTTCAAACCAGGGGATTTAATGAGCACCCAAGTTTGAGGATTCCACTCTAAACAAGTGACTCCCACCTGATGATTCCCATGTCTTTTAAAGCATTCAGCCACCAGATATCAAGACGGCTATAAAGCTACAGCATTAAGGTATTAGCACAGAGACAGACAAGTTAACCAATGGAACGGACTAGAGAATCCAACAGAGCCACACAGCAAGTCACCTGATATGTGACAAAGGCATCGCTGTAGCTCAAAGGAAAGGATGATCCTTTCGATTAATGGTAAAAAAAACAAAAAACAAAAAACAAAACAAAACAAAAACCCTGATACCAAAACCTAGCAGAGACACAACAGAAAAAGATTATTTCAGGCCAGTATCCCTGACCTACATTGATGTGAAAATCCTCAATTGGCAAACTGAATCCAGCAGCACATCAAAAAGCTTAGCCACCATGATCAAGTCAGCTTCATCCCTGGGATGCAAGGCTGGTTCAACATGTGCAAATCAATAAATGTAATCCATCACATAAATAGAACCAGTGACAAAAACCACATGATTATCTCGATACATGAAGAAAAGGTCTTTGATAAAATTCAACATCCCTTTATGCTAAAAAATCTTAATAAACTAGGTATTGATGGAATATATCTCAAAGTAATGAGAGCTCTTTATGACAAACCCACAGGCAATACACTGAATGGGCAAAAACTGGAAGCACTTCCTTTGGAAGCAGGCACAAGGTAAGGATGCCCTCTCTCACCACTCCTACTCAATATAGTATTGGAAGTTCTGACTAGGGCAATCAGGCAAGAGAAAGAAATAAAGTGTATTCAAATAGGAAGAGAGAAAATCACATTGTCTCTGTTTGCAAATGACATGATTATATATTTAGAAAACCCAATCGTCTCAGCCCCAAATCTCCTTAAGCTGGTAAGTAACTTCAGCAAAGTCTCAGGATACAAAATCAATGTGAAAAAATCACAAGCATTTCTATACACCAATAATAGACAAGCAGAGAGCCAAATCATGAGTGAACTCCCATTCATGATTGCTACAAAGAGAATAAAATACCTAGGAATACAACTTACAAGGGATGTGAAGCACCTCTTCAAAAAGAACTGTAAACCACTGCTGGAGGAAATAAGAGAGGACACAAACAAATGGAAAAGCATTCCATGCTCATGGGTAAGAAGAATCAATATTGTGAAAATGACCATATTGCCCAAAGTAATTTATAGATTCAATGCTGTCCCCATCAAGCTATCATTGACTTTCTTTGCAGAACTAGAAAAAAACTACTTTAAATTTCATACGGAACCAAAAAAGAGCCCACATGGCCAAGACAATCCTAAGCAAAAAGAACAAAGCCAGAAGCATCACACTACCTGACTTCAAACTATAATACAAGTCTGCAGTAACCAAAACAGCATGGTACTGGAACCACAACAGACATATGGAACAATGGAACAGAGCAGAGGCCTCAGAAATAACACCACACATCTACAACCAACTGATCTTTGACAAACCTGACAAAATGGAAAAACAAAATGGAAAGGATTCCCTATTTAATAAATGGTGTCAGGTAAACTGGTTAGCCACATGTAGAAAAGTGAAACTGGACCCCTTCCTTTTACCTTATACAAAAATTAACTCAAGATGGATTAAAGACTTAAATGTAAGACCTAAACCCATAAAAACCCTAGAAGAAAACCTAGGCAATATCATTCAGACATTCAACATAGACATGGGCAAAGACTTCATGAGACGAAAACACCAGAAACAATGACAACAGAAGCCAGAAATGGCAAATGGGATCTAATTAAACTAAAGAGCTCTGCACAGCTAAAGAAGCTATCATCAGAGTGAATAGGCAACCTATAGAATGGGAGAAAATTTTTGCAATCTATCCATCGGACAAAAGGCTAACATTTAGAATTTGCAAAGAGCATAAACAAATTTATAAGAAAAAAAAATCAAAAAGTGGATGAAGGATATGAACAGAAACTTATCAAAACAAGACATTTATGCAACCAACAAACATATGAAAAAAAGCTCATCATCACATTCATCAGAGAAATGCAAATCAAAACCACAATGAGATACCATCTCACACCAGTTAGAACGGCGATCATTAAAATCAGGAAACAGCAGATGCTGGAGAGGATGTGGAGAAATAGGAACAGTTTCACACTGTTGGTGGGAGTGTAAATTAGTTCAACCATTGTGGAAGACAGTGTGGCGGTTACTCAAGGATCTAGAAATAGAAATACCATTTGACCCAGCAATTCCTTATTACCCAAAAGATTGTAAATCATTCTACTATAAAGACACATGCACACGTATGTTTATTGCAGCACTGTTCACAATAGTAAAGACTTGGAACCAACCCAAATGCCCATCAATGATAGACTGGATAAAGAAAATGTGGCACATATACACCATGGAATACTCCACAGCCGTTAAGAAAGGATGAGTTCATGTCCTTACAGGGACATGGATGAAGCTAGAAACTATCACTCTCAGCAAACTAACAGAAGAACAGAAAACCAAACACTGCATGTTCTTACTCATAAGTGGAAGTTGAACAA